GTTTATGGATTGGGGGCCCGTGAACCATGACTCAAGTAATTCTCGGCTCATCTGCTTATCACCTCTTGTGAGAATTTCGGCCTCTAATGAAGAATCCGCGACCGATCTCGAAGCCTCAGGCGAATAAAAGTATTTTCCCAACGATCAAGTCGTCTTCTTCTCAGTAACGATATAGTTGACAATAGTTCATGATTGTTCACGGATCGTCAACGGAACTCAATCTTTCTCTCTGGCTTGGGGCTCATTCTTTAAGCGGATAGCTTCACCGACAAATGCAAGGGAGACTGGAATGGTCCGTTCTGACTCATTAGCTGTCATCAGCCAGTCGTACCCGACCCCAAGTAGTGCTCCGCCCGAGGCTCGAACCCATGACCTTTGAATTGGGAGTCTTAATCTCTAAAACGTTAAAGAATTCCAGCGACCAGTACAGGATAATATCCGAGTTCCAGGGAGCAGTTCAGAAGAAGAAGAAGAGATCACTGGAACAAGAGGTTTATTGTCCTGACGTTTCGGATTCCGTCGAAAATCCTTAGTCAGAGGTAATTGTAAATAAGTCTGACGGACGGAATCTAAAACGTCAGGACAATAAACCTCTTGTTCCAGTGATCGCTTCTTCTTTTGAACTGCTCCCTGGAACTCGGATATTCTCCTGTATTGGAAATCTGTTTGGGCGCGAGGCGCTCCGATCGGCTCGTCGGTGGGAAACATTTGCCCTTCGAGAGTCATCTGCTTATGCGCAGATTCGATTCCTGCACAGTTGCCTCGACAACCATGTGTTACCGAAATGTGTTTCGTACAGACCTCCGGTTAATACAGAGTTGGCGAGATGCAAAGAATTTAAGCGCGGCAGAGGTATGATCCGAGTCATCCTTCAAGACTGTCACGCGAAGCTTCGCAAGTACCGTCAGAGGATCGACGAAGAGAAGACAAAGTGATTTGAATTCATGGGCGAGAATGGTACACAACTGCTCCAGAAGAGGGTGGCCGAAAGAGCCCGCGAATACAAAGCGAAGCGAGAGGCAGCACTTGTAGTTAAGTTCGGCAAGCTATCTT